CACAAGTTTTATTGTAATGCGTTGTATTTTATTCTGCAAAATAGGAAGGGGCAAAGGTGCAGGATAAGTGAGACTGCCTTCAAAACCGAATGCATTGCCTCACACCCTAAAGAGCACGCAAAAACGTCCGAGCAAATGTTTTGTAAGGATTGGCTTTGTGCGTGGTGATTTGTCCCGAGCTTGGAAGAACTCTCTGCAGCCCCGCCGCGGTGGTCTAGTGGCTAAGGTACTCGGCTGCTGACCCGCAGGGCGCGGGTTCGAATCCCGGCTGCGGCGGCTGCATTTCCGATGGAGGCGGAAATGTTGTAGGCCCGTGTGCTCAGATTTGGGGGCACGTTAAAGAACCCCAGGTGGTCTAAATTTCCGGAGCCCTCCACTACGGCGTCTCTCATAATCATATAGTGGTTTTGGGACGTTAAACCCCACATATCAATCAAGAACTCTCCGCAAAGAGGTAATAAAATAATCACTGTGCTCATACACTACTGTACTACAACGCTCTGAACCCCAATTCGAAAAAACTACCAGTGCACCGGACGTCAGGGTGTTCGTTCCCCGGCACGATGACTTATCTTCGCCATGTGCGGCCATCGAAACTACAGAAATACATTGAAGTCAATGCATAGAGCCATGCCCTCTCATTTTGCCACGGTACAATCAGCAGTTCTTTCGCATGAAGCACGTTTGAGAGCAGTTCTCTGCGGTAGCACATGGCGAGTGTTATCTGGTCATAATTTGTAGAATTTCTTTGATTGCCTTAAAAAATAGGCAGGTCCCACGTGCAGTGAGAATCCATAATATGGGAAGCACGAATGAGGAAGGTTCATATGTCACTTTAAAATCAGCACAGCGTTACGAGGTGGAAGTAAAGGATGCCGTACATGACTTTCGCGTCATGATTATCAAGTTTGAATGTGTCTTTTACCTTCGTCATCTATTCCGTCACGTGATACCAAATTTAGTATAAGTGAGGCTAACAAAACGCCAGCGAGCACGCTATGAGCGTGGTATGTTGCCATGTTCTTCATGGCATGCGTGTGAGGAATATTACGTTTGCACCAATAATAAATTTCGTCATTCATTGACGTCACGTAACACAAAATTCGGTATATGTGAAGCTAGCAAAATGGCCGCGAGCGCATCATGAAAGGCCCAACGTACTCCAATATAGCGTGGACGCGCGTGAACGCTGGGTACAGCGACGCTACAATAGCGAAACGCCAGCACTCTATAGTCTGACGCCGGGCGCGACCGGCGTCCGTCGGCGTGGCCCGACGGAAACTGGCGCGAAATGCGACATGCTGCATTTCAGGCCGATGCGTTACCCAGACAACACAGCGTCTCCCTCTTTTCGTGAAGGAGGGACGCTCGACACGATGAAACGCACATGCGTCTAAGCAACACAGCGTGGCGCACTATTGCGAACACATGGCAGGACCGGAGCATGACGTGGCAACCTCGGCGTGACGCCATGAAATGAACGCCGGCGAGCACGCACACCGCGTTACATTGAAATGTATTGGCTCCTTAATCGGGACATACAGTCATGTACTCACATGACACGCATGTAATGATGATCATGTTCGCACCAGTCACATACCTTCGTCAAACATTCACATACCATAATACCAAACTTGGTATATGTGACGCTAGCGAAACGGCCGCGAGCGCATCATGAGCGTGGCCTGTAGTCATGTTGTTATATGACAGGCATGTCAATATTTTCATGTCAGGATCTGTCGCTTGTGTTCGACATGCAATCATGTCATACCATACCAGTTTTGCAACAAGCTATGTGAACGAAACCACCGCAAGAGCTGCAGGACCATGAAGTGAAAATCATTATGTCTAGACAAATATGTTGTTCATACAGTCATGTTACGCCATACCAAGTTTGGTATTGATACCAGTATCAAAAGGGGTCAGGAGAGCTAAAAGTCGTAGGTGGCTAGACAGACAGACAGACAGACAGACAGACAGACAGACAGACAGACAGACAGACAGACAGACAGATAGATAGATAGATAGATAGATAGATAGATAGATAGATAGATAGATAGATAGATAGATAGATAGATAGATAGATATATAGACAGACAGACAGGCAGACAGACGGATAGATAGATAGATAGATAGATAGATAGATAGATAGATAGATAGATAGACAGGCAGACAGGCAGACAGACGGATAGATAGATAGATAGATAGATAGATAGATAGATAGATAGATAGATAGATAGATAGATAGATAGATAGATAGATAGATAGATAGATAGATACGCTAAAAGTCACCGAAGTTCGCTAAGAAATGCTTCACATGTAATAACACTAGGCAAACAATATGTGGAGAGAAGCTTGTTCTGAAATGCCCTCTTCGATATTATGAAACAGACTTGGCCATAGAAATATTCTAAATATCGCTGCGCAATCAATCTTAGTTGACTAAATGGGCATATTTTAGATGTGCCATAGTGAGCGCCACGTCATATCAAACCATATGTAGTGCGCTTTATTCAGGGGAAATGTTTCAGTTAAGCGTTTTTTTTTAAGATTTGGTTTTAGTTACGCCTAACACCTTGTGTACACAGAATATAGGCGGCACCTAGAAAGCTATGACAGGCTAGATGATGTTTCGTCAAGTAGATATTTGGGATCGATTTAGGAAGCCTTAGTGCCTAAAGTGGTCGATTGAACGCTGATATAAAAAACGAAGTGTTTGCTGTTGTGATACCTCTAGAAACTCCTTTCTAATACATTTCAGTTGTTCACTTGTAACTTTTCTTAATACATTGCAAACTCACTATCGCTATTTAACTGTATTTTCAGCAGAAGTTTCTCTCCGACCACTGGAGGGACACCTACCGTATTCTACCTCTGTACTGCACATTAAGTAAAATAAAATTTCAATATATTGATTGTAAGAAATATACAAATTGTTTTACTAAAATAATGAACTATAGCGACCATGTTTGAGCACCAGGTTGCACAAGATGTCTTTCAACTAACATAAAAACTCAAACAACGAGCAGGTAACATGTACAGGGACTAAGTAGGACAAGGAGCAGCGTGGTTCTTGGTCCTATTTAGTCTATATCCACTCTATGCGACCATATTTTAAGTAATAAAAAATTACCAACTCGCCCAATTAGCGAATTGACAGGCATGTCTTAAAAATAATTAAGTTACCTATTTATTTTTACATACTGCAGCCGCTCATGAGTTATGGCACGAGTGGCGATAACAACAGATTTCAAGCCCAGTCACACACCAATCATTGCTAAAGCACGAACAAATCCAGGCAAAGCCTTCCAATGATTAGTGGTGCTCTATTAGAACGTCGGTGAGCCATACGGTCACGTACGCCTTTCCTGTTTATTTGTGGCTGGTGCTTTTCTGCGGTCGCGGGATCGAATCCCGGCTGCGGCAGCTGCATTTCCGATGGAGGCGGAAATGTTGTAGGCTCATGTGCTCAGATTTGGGTGCACGTTAAAGAACCCAATGTGGTCGAAGTTTCTGGAGCCCTCCACTACGGCGTCTCTCATAATCATATGGTGGTTTTGGGACGTTACACCCCACATATCAGTCAATGGTGCTTATCTGCTATAAAGTTCACCCAATGAACAGTTCCCTCTCTTCCAGTTTTGTTGCCGACCTATTACGCAAGAGCTCAATAACGTTTCGCTTATTGTCGAGCACCTTAATGAGAAGTTTTGTAGGTATGCGCCACAGAAATTGTAGAACCCTACTACCGAGTGCAAACAATATTGGGCACCATATGAATTTATTGCTGGTGGCAAAGGGATCTGAACGCGTGGATGAGGAAAGGATTAAAAGAATAAATTTGAGAGCGTGATTCACAGCATGTCTATGAATTTCACAAATTTAACAGGTACGATAAGCGACGTAAGGGTAAGGAGGAGTAATGGGATGGTGACGAGGATGGACAGGGTAAAGCACTGTATTAACTTGCGAAGTATGGTACAGCAAGTTGATGGGAAAAAAAAGTCGTGGTGTGGTGGACGGAAAAGTGAAACATAAATGGGTAGCTCTTTTACCTTTTACCTAATTGTAGTTGAGCACGACGGAAAGCGGGAAGAAAAACTCCACCACCTTCACCGTTTTATCAGTATTTGCAGCACAATGGCGTAATTATCCTATTTTTGGGAGACGTAATCACACGACAAACGTGGACAGTTAGTGGATCTCTTTTATATTTCATACCTCTTGAACCGAATGAATTGAGGTTGTCAATCAATGCTAATCTATGTATGTTTTATTTTACGAAGAACGGACGTTCGACTGATGGCATAAAAAGTGTGTTCATAGCCCATTCAGTCAAGAAATATTACATGGTGTCAAAAACGCATCCAATTTGCGCGGAATATTTTCCAAGCACTTAGTATTAGATTCCAAGTAAGAAAAAAAAGCAAGGCGTTCTTTTGTGTGAGATTTAGTAATTTAATGTTTTCAGTATGTAACTGTCTATTTATTCTGCCACCAGCCAGCTACAGCATTTGCATAAAAACGATGCACTATTAGGTTAGAAGTGCTACAGAGTTTCTTTAATTTATTTTGTTTGAGCGAAGAAAGAAAATACTTTTCGCAAATGTCCTTGAACGCGTCCCGGCGAACAATCGTCGAACATGGTAGTGAAGCCACCTAATTGATAATCTGCCGCTATATGGAGCATAATGAAGATAAATGATGCCAGTTGTCCGTTAAGAAGGCCTTCACAGATGTGCACAGAAATTTTCAAAGCATTTGATCAAGCTCGCAATGCGTGACGTGCTATTGAAGTTGGTGTACACAATTGTAAACACATTTTTTGAAAGAGATAAAGACTGCGTGATGAAATGTGCAATTTTTTACCATAGCATTTAGGCTGTGTTAGAGCAATGCCTGTTAAAGGAATCCATGTATTACCTGTGTCTTTCTGTGAGCCTAGTCCGACTGATCATGATGAAGTTGGTAATGATGCTTACAAATGTACATTTTTGTAGGCGTTGTCGGACTCATGGTTGAGCAGCTACTAGTTACTAACAGGAATCGTACTTGCGGTGTCTTCAAAATATATCGTCAGCAACTATGGGCCAGCAGAGACGCAGGTAAGAAAACATCAATTTTCTAAAAGCGGGAGCTAGAAGGAACTGGCTCTTGAATCAACAAAGCATAGTGGAGACTCCCACTGATAAGTACTAATTATTTATTACAACGTAGCTGCCATGTTTTAAGGCCTGTTTATTGGACAATCCTGAGGTTTTACAGCACATCGTCAGTTCTATTGCCGTTTAACTATACTTTCAGCTGCCGTACGTGAGTCTTGCCCGCACAAGAAGAAAAATATGTCAGAGCACTTTTCCTTAGGTATACTTTAATAATCCCGCAGGAATCACACATACGCTGACGTTATATTGCTGTCATGTCCGTTAAAATTACGTGGAGTGGTCCGTATCACGAGCGACTCTAGGGGCCTTGACAGTCAGTTCGCTCTGAGAAAAACAGGTGCCTTCACACAGTGCTTCACGTGTCTACCTGAGGCGTGCTCAGTCAAAGCATTAAATTCTACATTTGCCTTGTTTAATTGATAATAGCCCTGCTTGAGGTGCTTTTCAGGGTCGCGAGTTTCGCAAATAAGCTGGTAGTCAGAATCCGCGCATGAGACAACGGATAACATACACCACACCGGGTATATTATCTTTGGGTAACTTGTCCTTCACTATGACTAAGGGTTGTCGCAGTAATGGGTTTCGACAACCTCCTGCATTCTACAATGCTCGGGGTCCATGTAATGTCTCAGTGCAACATGTACCGGAGCAGATACTGTGACTACCCTTCGTCAAAGTGAAGGACAAATGGCCCAAAGAAAATTGGCGCGCCCACCTCGCGTTGGCCTCGCTCCAAAGTTCATTGCTTCCACGAAGCGCCGCCTGCACGGCGCTTGGTCTCTCCTGCGCGCGTGCCTCTAAAACTCGTACTAAGACTCGTAATTCAGGAGAGGACGAAGGTGTCTTCGCACACTACAGCAGCCGCATTTACAAAAGAAGCACGCTGCTTACACACGACGCAGGATTAATGGTGAAGGTTGTTCGCTCTTTTCCTGCGAATACTTGTGCGATTGTTTCTTGCGTCTTTCTGTAGAAATAGCACGCTCTAAGTGCTTAACTTTGACAGGTGTTAAACAGCGCTCGTCCTGTGTATGCTAATTTAGTGCATGCTTTCTGCTTGAGGTGTGGCGGCAATTTTTAAAGACGCTATTCTTTCTTGGGTACCTTTAAAGCAAACATTGTGATTTGTCTGTCTACCTATCTGTCTGTCTGTACATTTGTCTGTTCGACCACCCTTAACGCTACCCTCAATGACACCGAAGTGACCAAAGGATACTCTAAACGGCTGACCCCATCCGTAGTGCCCACCCATATTGCTCAAAGTTCAGGGTTCATACTTGTGCGATTGTCAATTAAAAAGCAATTATTGCGCATACCTGAGGCACTAAAGCACGTCAATATTATGTATTTGTATTTTTTACTAGAAAAGGAATACATAAGTAATTTTGAAGGCCGTAGTGTTCATCACGCTGCACTAACCATGCAACGCTTGCGCGAAAATACAAGTGTTTCCAACGCTTTGCTGAGACGACACGGTGGTGGCACCTACCCGTCGCCTTGCGTTCTACACCTTACACTCCAGAGACAGCGCGCACGCCACACGCTTCGTTATCGAAAATAACTGCCATATAGCGCTCATGTCTCACGTGTGACTTGACCTGATGCGCTCGTTCGCCTCCGCTGCCCGTTCGAGGCACTCTAACGCAGCACCTTCGGAGTACCATTCACCAATTGTTTTTGCGCAGAACATCGAATAAACGTTTTGTTCACTCTCTCCAGATAAAATATACGTCTTTTGAAGACATTTGCTGTGTAACACGCAGATACGGGGCCATTTTTAGCTGCTTGCCGTTCTTAACGTGACTTAGTGGTTTGTGGGTGTTGCTGGAGCAATACATGATAAACACTCAACTACCTCTGTAACGACACGTATCACTTTGTTGGTATACCTATTTCCATAAAGGGAGACCAGCCATGTTTTCGCAATAATGTCTTTATCCACCATTAGGAAACAGGCGCAACAGGTTTTTATGTCTACAAAAGGTTGGGCGTTGATATCTTTCTATGAAAGCGGAAATCTAGAAGTATGGATGTTTATATAGCTTATATATGGGCAAAACCCGAGTTTGTATAACCATGCTCAGCTTTGTCAGATAAGTTTGTCATCAGATAGGTTCGGTAAGTATCGAAGAATTTCTCGAGAATCGTACGAAAGCGAGAGCTTTCCAGATGAGGAAACAACAGTGTTAAATTGCGCACACCTAAAATAAACCTTCCATCGGATTTTGGGCAGTTGGTAATTGACGGTGAAATCTGTTGAATGGTGCTACACATGTTTCAAAAAGCTCCTAGGTGTTGGGGTATTTTTGTTCTTTCTAAATGAAAAAAAACGTATATCTTAAAACCTTTGTTTCTCTTTTAGACGCCATCTATGAGTTGCGTGTGCGAAATCCAAATAGTACTGAGATTGAGAAGAAATGCATGAACAAATTCACGAAGTACAGCAGTCATAAAGGCCGAAAGATATACTCCTCTCATTGCAACGCCAAAAGTTACGACTGCAGCATTTTGCCTGAATGATGTGTGTTCGAGACTGATAAGTGGTGGTTGTTTTGAATAAATTAGTTTTGACAATGACAGTACCTTCTTATTATGTATTCTTTTGTAGTACATGACAGTGCGTGCGAAGTAAACAGGACGTAATTCCGTAGCTACAGCTTTGCTTCCTCCTATCAATGTAAAACTAGAAAATCTGCCACGAAAAAAATATTCACCGATTAGGATTACATGCATTGCAACAAAGGATGATAAAAGTGGAAGCTAGAAAAGAGAACAATGACATCATCAATAAGTCTTTGTAGTAAAGGTCACTTATACGCGTAAGACGTATTCGCGATGTATGCAGGAAAATAAACTATAGATCACTTATTGATAACATTTTATGGTGATGATGTGCGATATCAGAGAAAAAACGCTCAGGATCACTGCTGCGGGTACTAGGGCTCTCATACTGAAGGCATTGTGATTCGAAGCTTATACTAGGATTTGGCACTTCATTTTTTTTACTGACTTTTTCTTTTACGGTGAGTCAAATTATGGGAGAAGAAGACTATAGGGGACATGAGTTTTGCATTGAATTTGCCTAGACAATTTCATACCTAAAGAACACGTCTTGTTATGAATCACTATTGGTTGAGCATTACTGGCGCATGAAGAACTGGTAGACATTTTCATTTGTGTATTCCTTTTTTGCATGCCTTCGCATTGTTAGTTGCGCTAAATATTTTAATGTTTTATTTATGCCTATTTGTGCTGAATCCCTATGACATCCTATAAACAGCCTGCCAAATATTTTGCTCATGGCTGTGGCATGCAGTCATTTGACGCAAAATCAAAAACGATAAAACACAGAAGAGGGCCTATAGTCCCTAGAAAAGGATATTGTGTTTAGGGACGTCTGGCGCATGCTATCAATTTTTCCTAGTCTATGTCATAGTAGTACATGTGCGACGTTCATTAGGTTGCACATCGTCGGCAGTAGGTTGAACCACGTCTGCACATTATGCTCTGCCATGTCAGAATTTATTGGTAGGCAGCCAGCAACACAGTGGTTGATATACTGCCTTTTCTCAAGCGAAACTGCCTAAGATATTGGTGACGTGTGGTCTATTGTACGAAATTTCTCAGGCGGGTAGGCACAGAAATTTCAGCAAGGTTCAATACTCGAGAACCGTGGGTCAAAACGTGAAATGAAAACTGCTTGGCCAAGTATATGCGTGAAATAAGTGAAAAACAAAAAGACAAACAATCAGATAGAACTTAGACTAAAAAAACAGAAAAAAAAGAACACAAATAAACATGACTGAAAAAGAGAAAAATGTGGCGCAATGATAGAAACAGGCAGTAATATGGTAGCCATTCATAGACAAAGTAGATAACAAAATAAAGACAGGCTCGAAAAAGATAGAGAGGAAAAGCACGAGAGCCGAAAATAAAGAGGAAAATAGAAAAAAGGAGGTAGAAGGGGAGTGCTGTCAACAAATACAGGGTTTAAAATTTGGTAGATCCCACGTACCTTGTAATTGATGTTATGCGAAAAATGCGCAGGGAAGGTGACTGTGTTGTAATTTTTCATTGGGTAACCCGTTACGAAAAGGCACTTACGGTATGTTCAAATGTTGTACGCACAGACGTGTGTTAAACAATGGAATGTTCACTATTGCGTAACCATGCCAACAGCAACATGGGCATAAGGAACACCAGATTTTGTAATTAAGCTTATCGGAAGCTTTAGTGCCATTGGTGATGGCGGTCATGGACACTGCTAAATAAATGAGCTTCAGTGGAAGGCACTTCGCTGTCATTTTCACTAACCCGACGTGACGGCTGTGTGATGGCAGTACGTATGCACTGTTATAAATATTGTATAGCCAGCCCTGCAACCACAATTGACGTTTAACGAACATTATGGTCTACTTCAAAATCAGTTTCAAAACCTGGCGGGGCTCTGTGGTAGAACACTTGATAACCACGCAAAATACTGGGGTTCAATTTCTGGCGGGGACTCTGATATTTGTTATATGCATTTGTGTAAATAACAAAATTTATGTGTAATCGAGTATACGACAGCACAGTATACGTTATCATCCGCACCGTCCGTTTGTGTGTCCATCGATGCATCTTTCCGCCCATCCGTGTATCCATGCATACATACAACTGCTGGTTTGTGCGTCTGCCCTTCCATTTGTCCTTCCTATATCCTAGTCAGCAACTTGATCGTAGACATTATAGATCTTAGAGCCTATAGATTTGCCCACTCGTCGTCATTCACTTCGAGGAGATCCACTGTATTTTCCTATGGTTCTCCAATTAAAATTATCAATGTCTATTCGCACCGTTGCTGGGTTTATAAGAACGGCCAACCCCATTCAGTGCGTTTCGCTTATAACAACAGTAGATCTTATCGCTACGTGATGGCTGTCTTGTGGGAGTACATATGTACTATCTATAAAATTGGATAGCCACTCGATGCTTCCGAAAATTGCGGTCTATTTATTAAGCAGTGCGCATACCCAGGCGTGTTCTGAGGTAAAATACTTGAATGCCATGCAGAATGCTGAATGTATATTCTATTAGAAAGAAGCCCCACGGTATCTTGGGTAGCATATCGCGAGAGCCAACGCTGGGCAAGGAGCACCCAGGCATTGAATAGGCAAAACGTACGTACAAAACGCGGACGAAACGGCAGCTATACGCTAGCTGCACCGGATTTTTATAAGCCCAGGACGTGGAGGATGAACCTCCGTGGTTGAGATGCATCCGATTTCGTACGGACGCGCCCAGTTTCTCTGGTGGACGCATCTAGCATCTCTTAGGGGAAGCCCAGCAAGGGGCGAAAGCCCTGCCCAACGCGGACCGCGTTCCACGCATTACTGCAGGCTAGCCGTGCGGCACCTTTCTCGTAGTCCGGCTCCAGCTATAGCCTGTGGGATTCTTTAAAGTGATGGGTTGCAGCACACTCGTAATAGTTCCTCCACCGTTGTAATGTTGACCCGAAGGACAAAGGTTAGCAGCTAGTCTAGACAGTCCCTGCGGGAATCCGGAGTGTTCGTTCCCAGAGACTCCCCGAGCTGTTGGCACGTGGCGTCTGTCCTCACTCATCTGTCATCCAGGACAGGGCTCTGGCTTCCGGGCTTGCTCTATGCAGAAGCGCCATCACAGTGTTATCGCACGCGCCAGACAAATTTTCACAAGACCCACCAAGTTTATACAAAATGAAACAATAAAGCTTACAGGAAAGAGGGAGAACTGCACTTTGTAATTCAGATAGTTGATGATAATGCCGTAGTGGAGGGCACCGGAAATTTTGATCACCTAGAGTCCTTTAACGTGCACTGAAATCTGAGCTCGTGGGCCTACAATATTTCCGCCTTCATTGGAAATCAATCCGCCGCAACCGGGATTTGATCCCGTGACCTGTGGGCCAACAGCCGAGTACTTTGACCACTAGACCAGCGCGGCGGAGTGATTGAAAAAGCTTCACGACACACCCAACCTTTAGTTCTTTACTTTATGGTATTTACGAAACTGCGAAAGTAAGGCGCACTGCTGATTTGTAAGCTAAATTTGATTCCCATCAATGCAATGAGCTTGTCTCTCAGATGCCACAAAAATGACAAATATAAGCTTTCGGGTCTGCACATACTTATTTTCTGATTCATTTTAAACAGTTTGTAGGGGCAAAGCTTCTTAAGGCTTGGGTCTGTTCATTCTTTGTATGTGTATAGTACTACGTAGGCACCAGTGGCACATTACCCCACTAGAGCGGGTATGCGCCACAGGGAATACAAGATGGGGATGGCGGTACTTGGAGTGTTCACTAGATGGAAACACGGACGGACAGACAGACGAGCAAACCTATAAACAGACAGACGCGCGAACAGACAGAAAGACAGGTGGATGGACTAACTCACGGACAGACGCATGGACCGACAGCCCGACGCTCGGATGGACGCACGGATGGTCCCAAGGACAGACGGAAGCACGGACGGGCTGACGGGTGCTTTGCCCCACTCATCATCAATCACTCCGTAGATATGATACCATTTATTTTCACCTACTCCAATTCTTCGAGGGGTTATGACGCTGTGGTTATTAAGGACGCAATTTCTAGACTGTGCACAACGAAATAGAGAAGTTTACTACATCAACTGTTGAAATCGTACTTTATGAAGAGGCCGATTGCTGAACTCTAGTATATTGCCTGTCGGAATTTTTTATTTTCTTTGTTTAGAAGGTGGAAGTAAGGGCATAAAAGCTATTGAATACAGCCGAGTGGCGGAGATGATTGGCGTATTCGTGCACTAAATAGAGGTGTAATAGTAGGAAGCGCAATTGGTTGCCTTGTACATATGCAGAAACCTGAAAATACTACATCAACACAGACTGTACTTTTATTTGGTAATCTCACTTGTTCGCTACAAAGTTTGCATAATTAGACAGTTCGCATGAACGAGGAAGATTTGAATGGTGTACAACCGATTTATTTAGCCACTTGAATGCAAGAAGAGCCATCACGTATGCGAACACATAATGATTTTGAATATAATAATATCTGATACCACTGAAACCAGATAATGTAGACTGGAGTCGCACAAATGAACGCATCAGGAGCCCTAAAACTCTCTATCTCAAAATTTTGAGGTCTGGAATTTTAAGGACACACAGCGATTATGGTAATTTCATGAAAGCTTTCTTCAGGCCAATCAGTGTTGTTCAACTGAAACCTGCTATGAAATACCTCAACGTGTGTACTTTGTTGATTCTATGGGTCATTGGTATAGGAATTATATGGCATAATCCTTCATAATGGTGGTAATCCTGAGGCCACCTTCTCCTTGTGCAGTCTGCTTTGTACATGTCGTTTGAGAGGTTACACTTATGCTACCCTATATCTCTTCATGACCTTTCTTGCCAGGCATGATGACGCTGTAGGTTCTTTTTATGAACACGTTCGAGGCATTGGCGCAGCTTTTTGGTAGAATACTGGAATGTCACGCAGAGATCCTTTTTCGAATCCCACTCAATCATGCGTATTTTAACTAGAGTTATTTTACCTTGGAACAAGTTCCCTATAAAAAACACGTTTGGATGCAGCAGCAAGTATGCATGTGTGAAACAGCTCTTAGCATAGCATCCTACAGCATTGTATACTGTAGGAAGCGGTGAGGCATGGCATAGTCGTTTATATCTTGACTGAAAAAAACGGTGGGGAGAAAAAACGGGGGACGAGGATTAATGTTAGGGTGAGAAGGAGGAAAATGATGTGGAACAAGGGTAAGCTACACGTAGAGTATAGCGTGAAAACTATTGAGAGAGAAGTGAGTGCGATGCAGAAGGATCTAAATACCGAGAAGGCAGTATAAGCGATGGCAATTTAGCGATAAAGAAAATAAAGCGGAGCAAAAAATCAGAAAGTGAGCAAAAACGAAGAAATAACCAGATCCGCACCTTGCCGAGCGGCGGAGTTGGTATCGCAGCTCCTCTGTTCATTGATATTTCAGAGCCGTGGAAATGCCTTTATTTTTTCTTTATTGTGCGCTATATCCGTTTGCGTTATCGGTGGTGGTGGAAAACTGCCACGACAATTGGGGCTGTGGTGTCATTTCTTAAAAGTTGGGCTGGAACCCATGAAGTATTCCCGGTAAAAAGTGCAAGCACGACAAAAGGTGAGGAGAACAGACGCTTATCCGTCATTCTTCTCTCGCATGTCATATGAGCTCGTAAAAGCTGTCGCTGTTGATAAGTTCATAGGACTCCCACACACGCCCTAAGCTTCGCTTTCCCCAATACTCCTAGAATGAACTGTTGATTTTTTTCGCAAAATGTTAATATTTTTTGCAAACACAATGTTTAGCTCGTGTAATTATGCTTTCTTATTGATCGAACGGGCACTTTTGTTGGGTCAGTAATGCATGAGTTACAGAATAGTTCCTACGCCTTCTCAATATGAGCTAGAGTTCGACAATGCATGCGTTTAGCTCAATTTTTCTTAGATGTACAGTGCGTTTCATGATGTACTAATATCACTGCTTTCGGTGTACCTTCCTAAAATAACAAACCTTTAGGTTGTAGGTGCGAATAATGCGGCCCCCATGAACATTATAGAATAGTTAACTACAATATTTGTGAATAGTATGACTAATTTACCGTTTTATAAAGTATGGACATTTTCGAATACAAAACTGTGATTATTTATGCAATTTCAGACAATTTATTTAGCTAAGTTGGGTAGCAATACAACATTTGCCTTTTAATCTGCTCTTGACGAGTATAGTCGTGTTGATGTTGTGTACAACCGGGGATGACAACGATCTTCATCAATGAAACTTGGATCGAGCCAGTGAAGACTATCGAAGTTATAGTTGTGTTTCTTGACGCTATGTTGTCTAAGCTCAAATTGTCGTGCAATATGTCTCTCGGCTTGAAATTCGCTGCCCTATTTTATTGTATCTTAAACATTTAAACCGTTTTAGTAACCCTTTCGCACAATAATGAAATAAAAATTGATTTTAAATATGCTGCTAATTTGTTCAGAAACACACGCTTCACTAGTTGAGCGAAAAAAAAAACATTTTTGATGTATTCGGCGCATTTCTATTTTCACATTATCGGGAAGGTTAATGAACCTGTTTTTTTCAGTGACTTTTGTTAATTCAACATTTTATGCATTAGGCTATAGTTATTTCAACTATCGTGAGCTGCTACAAATATATTCTTGTATTGAAGATTATTCGCATAACAAGTGAGCTTGAAATGTGCTCATTTTGTGCTCTCCAGTCAATTTTGAAGAGAAATGTGTGATTAATATAGTGCACCCATAATGTTAAATTTACGCAGCAATCTACTTTTGATAACTTTATTAGCACCCTTATAGCAATTCTGCTTACTGATGAACTGTCAAAGTTGCGTTGTTTTTATCGGCAATTAGTTCACGCACATTAATTTATATGGCCACCGTGGTATTGGCAATTGAAGACAATTTGTGAGTGGGGCGTTGGAATATGTGTAGGAATTACATGTTTTATAGAGCGACACTAAACAGTGGATAACAGGATATTTAACAAAATGTGCAAGGTAAATACGATGTAAATAGGTGACTGTTATATTGTTTCTCGTCAGTCATATGTTGAACAGGGGCTACAAGGGCGTCATGAGAAGCTTGCGTTTTTAGATTTATTACACCAACTTTCTCCATGTTTTTATTTATAGATAAGTTTTAGCTGAATACAGCAAGTTGATAGGAAGTTTGTAAATAGGTTTATAGGCATTCGCTGAATCGATGGCGGGTTCTGGTGGCCTTTGTGTTCATCGATTCAAGCTTACAATACTGTGTATTTTCGTAAAGGTTGCTAAACATGAAAACCCACACTGTGTGTTGTCAAGCGTTTATTGCTTACGCGATGCCAACTACTGCTGCATTGTAGAGTACATCTATAGAATAGTGTTAAGAGTGACGCAAGGTACGCAGATAACATTGAAAATTATAGCACTTTGTTTCTGCTTCAAGTGGGAATTATGCGTTGCTCATGAGAGGGTCATACAATACTATCTACGATTCAATCTTCTATGCCAAATTTAGAAGTACGCGCTTAAAGACATCGTAAATGCATTTTCGCCCACTCGCACTGGTAGTATTATCTATGCAAATAAGAGACAGACTTCTCACTAAATGATTGGGACCAAATGAAGATATCTTTGCCCGCTGGCAAAATTAGCGTGATTATGTGAAGCTGCCAACCAGTAACTCCACCAATGACAGGAATCAAATTCTAAATGAGTGAAATGGCTAATTTGTTTGCAGCTATAATAACGGAAGCATTTTGAGTCTATTGGGAGGTCATTGCTTTCAATAAGATATTTTAAAATATGGTTGCTATTTAGTACAGCGAATGGCTGACAACGTTTATTCTGTGCATGTGACTCATCCGGCTAAGGCATACGCTCGAACCACAATTGCGGCCTCCTTTAGTGCTTCGTGAAAGGCGTCGTTTGAGTTTTTTTGCCCTATTTTCGACATCATTGTTGTAGAGCGTATGTGGCTTCTCGGACCTTCATATAGAAGTGGTGGCAGCTTTTTTATGACTGTGTTGGCAAAAACAACATTCTATGAACGTCATGTACTGAAAGGAAGCCTGTGAAAGCATAAAACGTCGCGTCGAAGAAGAGTAGAATTGCGCCAGGCGTGAAAACATGGGGATTGCGCAACGAGTTTGTGTTTTAAATTTCAGCTGTTTGAAAAGGCGCATATGTATCATATATTTAATCACAATAAGGAGAAACGCTGTGAGCCGCTGGGCTGGTTTGCGTGTCACGTTACACATATTCATAGCGTGCTCTTTAATCGTTCACAAGAGGCATAATTATGGTGCAGTGGTCACTTTGAGGGAGTATTTGCAGTAGATATTCAGGATAGTTCGATACAACTTTTTTTACGCACACAGACATTCGCTATTTTGCGGCATGGTTCATGTACCAACCAAACCATGGCGCTACGCTAGCAATAAAAAAGACGAGGAGATTATATCATCATAATCACGCCATCAATGCGATCATAGCCTCTTTTAACCACTCATGACTTTTGCGCGGGAAGCGACTAATTGCAGCCGATAACGACTGTAAATTGTCGCATTCGATGTCGGCACAGTGATAATCTGTTCAGAGGTTTTCTTTTGTCGATAAATGTTCGGCTTTACTTTCGTGCAGGAAACATGAAGAATGTTTAATTTTCTTTGTCAGTAACAATGCCTAGCGGTCACAGTGTGTTTTCGGATCCTGTAATAGGTCATGGCGCATGCACCTTCAAGGGTATCTGCATCAGAGCGTAAGGTTATTCTAAAATAAGCGAACATGCTAACCAAAGGCAAAGCCCTTATCAAGCTTTTTGGCACTGTCTCTCGCCCTTGCTAAAATAAAGATAACACGTGACACTTCTGCGTTGATTACAATCATATAAATCGCATCCCCCCCCCCCCAAAAAAAAAACACCGTTTACTATTTGGCTCGAATTGATGAAATATTGATAGTCTGCTCTGTGCATGATACTTTTCATCTAGAGACCTGCGTACCGGTTATTATCGTATTGCTGTGGACGAGAAAAACCACGAGAAGGATGTTCTCGTCACTGCGGTTGCCTGTACAATCTCAAGCTTATACCATTAGGTCTCTAAAACGATCCACTATGGTTCAAGTCCCAGAAGGGCTCTCTACAACAAGAGTTCAAGTGGTCAACATGCTCTTGTTGCCTATACAACCTCCTCGTATTTTCGCCTACATTTAGTAGCCCCTTTGAGCATCTCTCGGCTTTTCCCGGCGTCCTCCGCACCCTTGGCATTTTGAACTCGTCAAAATGCCACTTCGGTCGCCCTTAGACCTGAGGACCTTGCTCTGCCCACTCATTATCATTAACTTCATAGCGGTTCGTGGATTATTTTCAACACGACTGTGTCGAGTTATGTTTTATGGGAACCATACCACCTAGACCTTTTGGTGTTGTCATTGTTCTATCTGCTTTCCTTGAAACACAGCGGTAGTGTTAAAATGCATTAACTTTTGATCGGTGGAAGTTTATTAGGTCACTACTTCACTGGAATATGTTTTGGTGGGTCTTGAGAGATTTCTTTCACCTCTATTTAGACAACGTGCAATTCTTCCGATATACTGTTGTAATTGTACCAAAAGCTAGTTCCTTGAATTTTCTAACGCACTCAGGATTTGGTTCCTCAATCATGGTGTTCTTCACACGTATGTCAAAGTAGACAGCTGTAAGAAATGCAGCGTTGTTAAAATGTGCGATGAAATGCTTTTTCAAAATTGTACACATGTTTTTTAAAACAGTGAAAAGTGTGGATATAATATTTACACCAATATATGGGGTACGCTGCATGCATATGTGAAAACTGATGGTACTTGAGCACAATGGTTTGAAAGAAGTGCTAAAATAAATTATTCTACACTTGGTGTCTGCTGTGATACACGATAAAAGCTGATAGCGCCTGTTTTCTTGTGATCGCCTGAGTGTAGCTACGCTGATGGTCCAGGGAAAATAATATTCGACACATCTGATACGCAAGTCTTTAAGCAGTTCCAATAGGTTATATCCTGGAATTATGATTGATCTTCATTCTGGCCATACGAACAAGTGAAAGAGCTTGCATGTATTGCCCTCGATACGTTTGCCGGAAGCTGTTGCCTTAAGTGCATTACGCCTTCCATCTAGTTCAATCTGACACTGCCCCCTGCATTTGGATAATTTTTATATATGGCAATAAAATCAAGCATTGTTCTGTCAGACGGGTGCGTGCCTGAGAGCACATCACCCCATTTTCATTCTGTATACAAGGCACTCAAATATAATGATGGTAACATTACTAGTGATTAAGATTGAACTAGTACCAAATTGTAACTAAACACCTAGTGCGAGATTGATTTAGCAGCTTCTGATAGTTACAAGGACACTTTCTGAATTTTTCGTATGAATAACATCTCGTGGCACGCACACAGTTTGTATGAGTGCCCACTTTCGAAGGGCTCTTGGGGACATAGTCATCCACTGTATATTCTACTCAGAGTGTGAAATTGGCTGCGATGAGTGATGACTGATTTGTCACGTGTAAAAGAGCAAGGCATTACACGCGAAAACAAACCTCACTGAGTTTTCTTGCTTAGAGGTAGTAATTTCCACTTCAGGTGCTTTATCTAAAAATATGACATTGCCCCACAAAAAGGCTAAGAAAATTCAGCATGTTCTACACAACAAAACTATATTCACTGAGCTTTCTCATAATGTATTGTCGAAGCAATAAGTCAGCAATAAAACAATAACTTTGTACCTCCATTGCCTTTACCAAATTATTGAACAAAAACATCTTTCCGGAGGTGGAAGCGAATCTTTCCATTATCGACCCTTTTCATTAAAATGCATGCTCGGTGACCTGCTAGAATAAAGAACCTTACAGCGCATAAGAGCCTTGAACATCGCATATCTCTTTGTTATCGACACTGTTTCCGCTGAGGCATGTCTACAATTTCCAAATCATCGAAATAGCGGATTAGCTTTCCTTTAACATCTGTCTACAAAACCGAATTCTTCTGAACATCCTAGATTTCTCTAGAGCATTTTATCAGCTTTCACATATCTAAATTATCTGAAACTACAGATTGCTCTGGGCAAAGGACCTATTGCTGAAAGGATCTCTACCTTGAATGCAGAGGATGGACAGAAAAATCTGAAGAGTTTCTGAACGAAGCACTTAGGGTGCTGATCATTTAGTAGATGTTGTAGAAAACAGATTGAAGATGGAGCTCGGAGGCGAGGAAGAAGTATCCAGGGGCACGCTGTGCATATTTTTTTATTTCCTGTTCTGTCAACAATAAACCGAAGACGTATCTGTTCTGCGGTCTGTCTGGTCCTTCTGAAACATGGTGCCGTGACCAGGATGATCTGAAGGCAGGCGCGCAGACTTCAACCCCATTCGCAACAACGGGTTGAAGAACGAAGCAGTGGTGTCTGGCTCAAGGACGAACCGTCGAGAGATGGACCACGACCGACGACTGTTGGCGACGCACATAAACAGGCAAGAGTTCTTTCAGCACGTTTTAAGCATGAATAAAGAGGTCCTATCGAAGAAGCGGAAGACGCTTGGAGCAAATGTGACGACGCTTACGAGCGAAATCGATAAGAAGATAGAAGAAGACGCCGATCAAGCGCAACTTATGACGCTTCTGAACCAGATGAAGAGCTTGTCACAGACGTTAAGACAAGTTAACGAACAGATTGAACCGTTCATTAAAGAAGACGACGCGGAGGCGGAATTTGAAAGAGTTTTGCATTATGAGATGAAGATCGTCGCAGCAAAGACAAAAATAGAAGAGCAATTACGTGAGTTAGAAGAAGCGACGCAATTGACTACGAGAATAGTCACAGAACAGGCGTGCTCAGTGCAACGTACTAACCAAATCTCGGAGACGCAAGAGCTTGTTAAGTTGCCACGTCTTGAGATGATCAAGTTTGATGGGGAAAAAACAGCATGGCCAAGGTTTTGGCATCAGTTCAAAAAATCGGTGCATAACAGAGTGAACATGCCGAAGAATCAAAAATTTAATTACCTTCTGGCATCTCTGAGAGGGGAGGCTGCGTGCCTCATAGAAGGTTTGCAATTTTCTAATCAGAATTACGAACATGCAATCGCTCTTCTGAAAGAAACCTTCGGAGGAGAAGATAAGTTAAGAGAGACCTACATAAAAGAGCTTGCAAACATGGAAGCAGTGAAGAGTCCTAAAGATGTAGATGGGTTGAAGAAACTCTTCCAAAAGTTGCAAGTGAACACACGAGCATTGCAGTCATTAGGAGTGGAAATGAGCAGTTACGCCACAGTGATAGCTCCTATTGTAAAATCTGCTCTACCGGTGGATATGAGGATTGAGATGAGGATGAAGGAGATAAAGGTGACAACAGGCCAGCAACTACGCAATCGGACTCAGCATCAAGAGACAGCACGAGCAGTTTAAAAGAAATTGTGGAGTTTTTAAAGGTATACATACGCAGCAGAGAAGAAAGTCGAGAGGAAAAATACGACGTTACCATGTCACCGCACAGTATGAGGCGGACTAGAACATCTGCGCTTCAAAGCACCTCGATGAAAAAATGCATCTTCTGTGAGATGACTGGACACTACACGGAAGATTGCAGAAGAAGCATTAGTATGCAACAGAAGAAAGAAGCCTTGCAACGGAAACGAAGGTGCTTCAGATGCACCAGACCTCACCACACGGCGAAGATATGCCGCGCTAACGTACGCTGCAAAACGTGCAAGGGAAGGCACGCGACATCCATGTGTCGACCACGTACGCCTGCAGGAAAGTCAGCACAGCAGCAAAGCGGTAATGATGTTGAGCAAGTGCGTGAAAGCGCGCAACCTGACCGGTTAGACACCAGCAAGTCCTGCAACATGCACGCACAGCAGTCTGATGAACACAAGTGCATACTACTGCAGACAGCCTTTTCGTGGACGGAAGATGAACCCAAGTGCATACTACTGCAGACAGCCTTTTCGTGGACGGAGGGAGAAGAAAGCGGGTGCTACGCACAGATTCTGCTGGACCACGGGAGCCAAAGCATATTCATCCTCAAAAGATTGTCAAGAAAACTAGCATGCAAGGTAAAAAGATCCGAAAGGATTACCGTAGGATCATTTGGAGGAGGAGAGATGGAACTAGACATGAAAGTCGTCGAGGTCAGCGTGAGGAAGGATCCCACATCGGAGCCAGTCACGATTGAGGCACTGGAGATAGAAGTTATATCCTGTGACGCGCTACCATCGCCACCGTTAACAACACACGAAAGAGCAAGGCCGATAGGAATGTGTTTGGTTGATGACAACGAGAAGACGGACAAAGAAAGAAAAAATATGGAAACTTCTATATTAATTGGAGCAGATTATTACTGGACTGTAGTCACTGGTCGCATTTGCGAGATTCATCCAAAAGTAATGGCTATAGAAACAATATTGGGATGAACGGTCCAAGGTCCTGTAGGACTTCATTGTGTGCCGATGAAATCATCGACGGTTATGGTACTCAAGGTCAGTGCCAAGTCGGACACGACTGTGGATGAACTGCAGAGATTCTGGGACTTTGAAAACATGTGCATCTAGGAGAAACCAGCAACAAAGATGAACGATGAACTTGTGCTAGACTACGTCCGACAAACAATGAGTTCAAGGCAGGAAGATACCAAGTGCGGCTACCATGGAAGGAAAACGTGAAATTGGACGACAACAACACCATTGCAGAGAAGAGGCTTATCCAGGTGACCAAGAAATTATGCAAGAATAAAGATGAACTCCTAGCCTACGACAAAGCTATTCGAGAATACTTCGAGCAAGAAATAGCAGAAAACGTCGAAGAAGATGCTGGATTCGATATACAGAACAAATTTGTATACTACATGCCGCATCAAGCAGTAATTAAGGACCGAACAACGACAAAAATACGGATCATTTTTGACGCATCGTCAATTCAGAATCCAGGTGAATCCTTGAATGATAACTTGAAAAAGGGGCCAAACCTAAACCCCGACATCACAAGCTTGCTGATGAACTTTCGACATCACAAGATCGCTATGTCAGCCGACGTGGAAAAAGCATTCTTGCAGATCAAGATTCATGAAAATGACCGAGACGCACTGCGATTCATGTGGTGGGAAAGAATACCCAGCGAAGATATGCCAACCCCGAAGATAAAAACGTGGAGGATGACGAGGGTTACTTTCGGAACTACACCAAGGAGCTTCCTTCTAGCGGCCACGACTCGTCGACATTTGGATAAATTCGAAAAAAAAATATCCTGCAGTTGTGGCGCAACTCCGGAAAGGAATCTACGTCGATGACGTTTTACTAGGAGCTGATGAATACTCGACATCGACAAAGATATACAAAGAAACACGAGATATTTTTCGCAATGCGGGAGTGAATTTAAGAAAATAGATTTCAAATGACGCCAAGCTAAGAAAACTCTTTGATGAAGAAGGAGAGGATCTGGATCGAGGGATACGAAAAGAGGGACAAATCAAGATTTTGGGACTGAAATGGAATTTCGTAGACGACGTGTTGAGCTTTCCCGACACTACATGGCGAAATGACAAGGACATGAGACAACTCTCAAAAAGACAGGTTTTGCAGGACACGGCAAAGCTATATGACCCTTTAGGTTTTTTCACACCAATTTCAGTTAGAGCAAAAATATTGCTCCAAAAAATTTGGATGGATAAACTGAAATGGGATGACCCGTTACCAAGCCAGCATAGATCAGTTTGGAAGGACTGGTCGGAGGAGCTTCAGCACTTAGATGACTTCACCGTTAACAGATGCTATGACAATAGGCAAGCTGAAGTGAAAGCATCGACCCTACACGTGCTCTCTGATGCGAGTCCAATGGCATATGGAGCAGCAGTATACATTGTGACAATATACTCCGATGGAAGCAATGAAGCCAATTTAATCATTGCAAAGGGTAGAGTCGCTCCAATCGAAAATATTACACTAAAGCTGTTGGCGGCCACAATATCAGTCAGATTGGCCTGTTATATAACCAAGAATTTCATCAGGAAACTAAGAAATGTGAAATTCTGGACGGACTCTCAAATTGTATTGTGCTGAATAAAGTCTAACAAGGCGAAAGATCTGTTTGTTCACAACCGCGCAGCAGAAATTAGGAACAAGTCCAATGAGAGTCAATGAGGTTATGTTAAAAGTGATGAAATTTCTGTGGATTTGATGACAAGGGGGATGAAGATGAAACGTTTGCAGGACAGTGAATTATGGTGGAAAGGCTCCACGTGGATCAAAAATGAAAAACAAACGCCTGATTACGACATCACGCAAGAATCGGACAATGATGACAACAAAGACGAAGAAAAGACCGTGGCATGCTTAACTACCACCACGAGTGAAGAAAAGATAATTGATGTGAGCAGGTTTGGATCAAACAAGAAAGCGTTACGAGTTACCGTGTGGGTGATGCGTTATATAGGAAACCGACGAAAAGAAAGGAAAACAGGTTTGCTGACAGGAGAAGAATTGGACAAGGCAGAGATTGTGTTGATAAAGCAGGAGCAGAAAACGCTAGAAAATGCAGTGACACGAATATATGACAACATGAATCTGTACGGCACGAACATCTTCGAAGATGATCAAGGTGTCCTAAGAGTAAAAGGGAGGCTTCAGTGGAGTGATTGGAGCTTTGATGAGAAGCGTCCTATTATTTTACCAAGAGAAAGTTACTTTTCAGAACTCCTAGTTCTGAACACGCATCAAATAACAATGCACGGTGGCGTTGCGGCAACATTGACACATCTAAGAACGAAGTTTTGGATTGTGCGTGCCCAACAGATGGTGAAATATGTAATAAATAAATGCATCACATGTAGGAGATTCTGTTCTAGGCCATTAGCACAAGAAATTCCACCACTACCAGCTGACAGGATAACACAGACGAGGCTATTCTAGACAGTTGGTATAGACTTTGCTGGACCGCTAAATGCTCGAGAGGAGAAAGGCGAAAAAGTTACAAAGTTTTACATTGTGATATTTACGTGTGCAGTAACAAGAGCCATACAACTGGAGTTGGTCAAGAGGATGTCATCAGAAGCGTTTATACAAGCATTCCGTAGATTCGTAGCTAGAAGAGGATTGTGTACAACTATTTACAGTGATAATGCAAGAGCATTCAAAAATCTGAGAAAGAGATGAACAAAATATTAAAGATGGAAGACGAAAGGGTTCAACAGTATACCAGTAACCTGAAAATAAAATGGAAGTTTATTGTAGAGTTAGCTTCATGGTGGGGAGGATTTTAAGAAAGACTGATCAGAAGCTTTAAGGCATCCATGGCAAAAACTATAGGTGCTCGACTTTTGGATGAAGCAGAACTATGGACTGTGGATGTTGAAGCAGAAGGAGTACTTAACAACCGGCCTCTTACTTATGTGTATGACGATCCTAACGAGCCACAACCCATCACACCGGCGGACGTTATAGGAGGCAGGCAAGCAATGAACAAGCATGAAGGAAATAGACTCGAAGAATACAGTTTGCTGAATTACGGGAGTTAAAGAAAACGGGCAATCATAACATGGTGGACCAGATAGAAAAAGGAGTACCTGAGGGAGATTAAGTGTGCCAGCAGAAAAACAGAGCGTCACGCAAATGTACAAGAAGGAGATGTATTTCTGCTTGGAGAATCGCGAAAAAGACCTCAGTGGAAACTCTGCAAGGTCGAAAAGATTTTCCCAGGCAAGGATGGACTAGTGAGAACATGCTTGCTTCGTACACCTATGGAAAATTATTCAAGAGGCCGATTCAACTATTGTACTCGCTCGAAGGTTGCTTCGGTTGAATCTGGCCGGCGGGAAGATGTAGAAAACAGATTGAAGATGGAGCTCGGAGGCGAGGAAGAAGAAGTAGCCAGGGGCACGCTCTGCATATTTTTTTATTTCCTGTTCTGTCAACAATAAACCGAAGACGTATCTGTTCTGCGGTCTCTCTGGTCCTTCGGAAACAGATGTGTCGCGCGAATCTGCTTCTTTCCTAATCTAAAAAAAAAAATATGAGAAACTATTTCTACTCTCTGCAGAAGCAGGCTAGGCGTTTTACGGCGTGAGTTTTATACTTCATAGATAGATAAAAAGTGGATATAGGCCTTGTCTTGCGCAGCTTGAAAGAAACAGATAGAAACGCCACACGCCACATGTAAACATAAAGTGATCCGTTTCGCTACAAAAGTTAGCTTCCGCTTCCCATGATTAGATGTGGTGATGACACGCCTTTATTCAAACTGACCATTCTTGTCAAGCCTAGTTACGCGTAAATGTAGCAGGCATGCCCCGTCTTCTGCTGGCAATCACTGTATATTTCACCCTCAGCTCTGTGAAACACTGTGTGGAAAATCGTGCACAAAACGTTTTCCTCTGTTCTTTATCAGCTATAGGGGCAAAGAAAGAGCAATATGCATTCAGCTATGAATGAATTGAACTTCTGGCATAATACAATTTTGTATATTTTGTTCATTTCACACCGTACTACTGCATATATCACCTAACTGCAGTAACTACCACATTCGGCGAGTCATTCGAGGTGCCGGTTCCTGCGAGCGACGTTAAAAGCATGATTGTTTTTGCTTAAAATGAATGCAGTTAGAAATAATTTTCTACCTCATTCTTTTTTATTTTATTTATGGCACTGAATGAATGAGTTCGGAATGAACAGATGTATAGCTACAACTTAATTCGGGTTAGTTACACTTCTGCATTTAGGCCAATATAAAAGGACACTGTTGTTCTTTAAAATATTATTGAATGACTTGAAGTAAAGTCGTCTTCGTTTAGCGCAATTACAGTCAGGTGTCAGTGTATGGCGTCTAAGTGGGTTGAAAGTCAATCATAAATACCTCTGATATTAGATCAAATTTTCTGATTTAGAAATTGATGTTATAAGTTGGCATGCACTTATACTTCCTGATAAAAATTGCCCTCAATTTGTTATATAAAAATTAAAAGAAAATTCTGTTTTATTACTAGCCCTGTTATTATAGATTTATTTGACCCAAACTTTGTTTACCAAGACATATAAGAGCCCGTGTGTGAAAAAAGGTAGAGTGTGTAACAGAAAGTTTTTAAAAAATGTTCAGTATCTATAAAAACATCGAGTAACACTTCGCGTGATTTTCGTTTTAGCTTACGTACCATTCCCATAAAAAACTACAGAGAAGATGCCACAAGTGTAGTCTGAGTCTACATATTGGAGCGTCTCGTTGCTTGATGGAGGTTGACCTGTTGGGAATAGACACGAAAGCAAATCGACGTAAATAAGCGGTCAGTTCTAAAGAATTAACAAATTTTCCTCATTTTCTTTAAAAAATATGTGCTTTTTACAAAGCTGACCAAGACTCCGCGTTAAAAGTTGTATTCAGATGGGCAGCTTTCGTCTTTGATTTATAGAAACTCGGCTGGTTGGCTTTATGCTCTTATCAGAATAGTCATTGACCAACTTTATGTCACACAAGGTCCCAATTCGCAATTTTTTTTCGAAGTAAGGAGACCATATGTAGTCTTTTTACTACTGTATTTTCACACACCGACCTAATATAAGCAAAATAACATATGGAGTATGTTACAAGATCTTTACAACTCCAACAATTTCATTGTGACACGCTCAACTCAGCACTGGAGCTTTCTCGTTGAATTTTCGGTCCTCTGAAAGTTCCCTGAGTTCTCAAACTAATATAGTGAATGTGCAAAAAAATGATAGGCAAAAAAAACTAACAACAGTAGAGTGGTAATTTTCATTGTTTTGGCTGCCTTATGAAATATTGGAGTTCGTGCCTCGAAGCTAACTTTGTCTTAAATACGTCTCTTATCTAACTCCTCGGTAGAAGGGAACGTTTGACACCACAGGGATCACATGCATACCTGTAGGTATACCACGCAAAAGAATCTCGCTGTTCTCAAGTTCACTGACTGGGGCGCCACGCTGTGGCCACTTGCAGATTTTTTCGTAATATTAGAGCGACCGCAGGTGACGCCTTGTCATGGCATCGCATCATCGAGGCACTGTAACTTTGTTTGCGTATGCATCCTTTGTGCAAGATAACTACACGCCACGCCCTCGATGCGCTCGCGGTCGATTTGCTAGCTTCACGTATATGAAACTTCATATTACTTGACGTAAATTGACGACGAAAGTAAATGAAAGTGCAAACATGATAATCATGAGATGCGTGTCGTGTAAAAACATGACTACACGCCGCGCTCATGATGCGCTTGTGGCTGTTTTGCTAGATTCACATATACTATTTTTTATTACGTGACGCTAATGGACAACAAAGGTAAATGACATGTCCAAACATGATAATCATGATATGCGTGTCATGTAAATATGACTACATACTACGCTCATAGTCTACTCGTTGTCGTCTTCCTAGATTCATATATACTAAGTTTGTGTTTATGGGACAACAATGAATGACGAAGGAATATAACTGCTGCAAACATAATCATGATGACATGAATGTCATGTAATACCATGACAGCGTGCCACGCTTATGGTGCGCTCGCGGCCATTTCGCTAGCTTCACCTATACCAAATTTGGTTTATGTGACCTGAATGGACGCCGAAGGCAAATGTTACGTCCAAATATGATAATCATGAATGGTGTGTCACGTAAAACATGACTACATGCTAGGTTCATAGCGTGCTCGCGGTCGTTTTGCTAGCTCCGCATACAGCAAAGTTGGTATCACGTGACGCGAATAGACGACGAAAGTGAATGAAACGTCCAAAAATACTAATCACGACATGCAAGTCATGTAGGGGAGAATTAGCGTCCACCTCGTAACTTTCTGCTGACTTTAAAGTCGCATTTATTCGGGCTTCGCATATAATCAATTACCAGTATACGTGGGATCTGCCATTTTTTCCCTTTGAGAGCATTACAGCTGCTTCACTATTTCGGCTGCCTGCTTTGCGCCAAACTTTATTTTACGCGAACATAGCCACAGTATATTTTAAACGTCTAAACTTGCCCCTCGGCCATGTGGTGGGATTATACAACTTTTTTCTCAAACGGAAAATTACAGAAGTTATCCTTTTTCTCTTGAATTCTTCGTTTTTTTTCTCAACTCCTGATATGCCAGCACACACACTCTGCGAGCTGAAAATTGGCAAAAATGGTCTTAGTTTCAATGTAATAAGCAAAGTATTTGATATACTGAGCGCTGATACCGCATTTGCAGGAACCGCCTATATATCACAGATTTAATTCTCATACACAAAAACGAAAAATTGAGGACGCTTGAACCACGCTTTTAAAAGCAGAACGCTATATTACTACTCGACTATATTCCTGTCTCTTTCTTAATCGCTAGTATACCTTGGTATCTCGGTGAAGACTTAAACCATGCCACAAAGAAAAATCCTAAATGCTGACACTACGCTTCATCATGCAGTCATCCGACAAAACACAGATGCTCGATGCCGTTCATTGCAAGTGGGCTGCCTCTTTGCGCTAATTCGCAAGTTACGTTCAAACGTCTGCCACGTTGCAACTCTTCCAAGACGACTGTAACACCAAACTTAAATGGCATACACTCAGATTTATAGAGATTATTACGGAGTACTGCCAGAGCAGAGCGACTGCATACAATCGAAAGCGTTCAACTACGTGAGGGAGCACTGGAGAGTTAGCCGCGGAACTTCCACTTTCCATGAATGCCGTGTAAACAGCGAACTCTCTGCTACTTATGTGGAGCACTCACCCCATGCTCTTCTCACGCCGAAGTGAGGTGAACAGGTTCTTGCACTCCTGCCTTATCGAATAGAGTACAATCTAGAGCCAGTGTCTTCCTGAAGCTACCAAGGAAAACAATAACTGTCTCGTAATTATAATCCTTCAAACGTAGTCGACACGGCTATAATTTCACTGCGTCTAGTTAATGGAAGTTTTACTGATAATAATCAATGCTTTCTGATCTTTAAGGCGTGGTGTCTGAAACGACAATCGCAGCAATTCTGAAGCATGGTACTGTAGCGAATTCTAATGCGCCGACCAAAGTAGTTCAAGGTGAAAAATAATTTCCACAAGGGTAAGGCAGGCACTAGACATGTTAGTAAAATAAAAAGTACGAAAGCTGCCTTCAAAAGGAAAAAAGAAATCATCCGCCAGAAAGCCTTGAAATTGGCACCTATTCATCACCAGTTCAGTTCTCTCACACAGCATCATTTGGCTTTCTTGACTGACTCTGCATCTAACCACACGCCACATTTGTCCTACAAACGCTAGTAAAAACAATATACACCCCTATACCGAACGTGTGGCACACTGAAGGTTGAAAAAATCTCATTTACAAACTAAAGTTAGTGTCTTTATTAGATAATAACTGCTGCCGAAGCATGCATGTGGCGCCTCAGAAGCCAACAGCACCATCTCTTCTTCAGAATCCATTCGCCATGTAGAAAAAATACAAAATTTTTAACCGAGGAGCACGGGCAATTCATCGGCAGGTACCAAAGAACAGTTTCTCGCTATTTTCGTAAGTTAGCGTGTACAGTTCAATGTTGACAGCAATGTCACCCAATAAGTAGGCGCACTTGAACACTCAAAGTTTATTTTCTGGCGCAAGCGACGATAAGTTTTTAAAGCGGCCGTGTCAATCAAGATCCGCATCTCTATGGACAGCTGCAGCTACATATCCCGCCGATAAAAATTATGTTGTATGTGAAAGTACGCCATCGTGTTACTTCAATAAGGCGAACTATACAACTAGTCTCTGTTTTCGCATGCGTCGGCGAAGTGCGGCGAGTATACGCCCGGTAGCTTTCGGTGGCGGCTTCGTGCAGCGGCTGAAAATGCGTCGCATTGATACTCACCACTTGAGACAGGAATCGCGTTTTAGGCACCAAAACTATAGTTTTGGTGTCTATAACTCTGTTTTGCCTGCCTATGGGCAGGCAAGACAGAGTTATAGTTTCCAAAAATTGTAAATATAGGTGAAATCAACTAAACGAAAAGTCAAATTTTTGAAGACAAACGTGCTAACCGGTGTTAGTGACATGAAAGAAAAAAAATGATATATTTTATGATGACCCAGAGGTACCAATGGTTTAGCTAAGCCATCAAAATTGTACCTTTTCCCGCATCGTTTTCAGAACACGGTCTCCCCTTTTTATTGGCAAGCACGGTGAGATAAGTGTTCACCTTCTCACACTCCTTGGTCTCTTTCTTTTCGGCGTGGCTGAGAAGGGCAGCACAGGAGCAAATAGTGAGGCTGTTAGAAAATCAGAACGATTTTTAGCCTCGTATTGGCCGGGTCTGGTGACGCAGAGCCAATTTCCCCTCTGTCTGTTAACACCTTAAAGAACCCTTCGCCAGGTCTGGGAATTTTGAGCAGGAAAGTGTAAGGCATGCACTGGGTGTTCAAGATCACGTCTGCCAAAATTGACAATATTGCGTGGTTCGAATATAGTTGAAATGTCCGATAGCACGCCGCTTACCTTTCATCTAGCGGGTGCATGTCCTAACATGGAGGAGGTAACGCAGGCCTGTAGCCGTGGGAGAACGGGAGGGGGACGAGCGGCTTGCCTCCTACTCCCTCAAAAATTTGTATATAGGCGTATGTTTTGCTGAAGCCAATTATTAAAATTGGTATTTTCCAAGGCCTTCAACAGGTGGATCCCTCCCCGAAAGAAATTCCTGGCTACGGGCCTGAGGTAACGTACAATTGTGAATGGTCCCGCGTACGTCCCAGTATTACGTGACACCACGAGAGTTATTCGAGACCACATGTCTAATTTGTGCACACTACGCTTGAATAGGTGAAGGGAATATTGGAAGATATATTGAAACCTACAAGAGGAATCGCGCCATGTAAGAGCGATTGCACAAGGTGGCTGGCCCGACCGATTTCACGGCTGCTGGTGGTCGTTTACGGCAGTTTGTTGAACTAGCGAACTAGGTTACACTACACACAGTTCGGAGATGTCAGTTTTGCCCACTCATATCAATAATGGCGTCCTCAAACTGTATACGAAAAGACAATTTGAGGTCAAATAGTTTTCATATCTAGGCACGAATTTGGAAAATAGGCATCTACAGGCACCTATAGTAACTTAAACACAAACGTTGAAATTGGGCATTTATAGGCATTCTAAAACACTGTAAAAGCTATCGTTAGAATGGTATTTATGCTTATATATCGAAGTGGCACAACAGGAATGCAAAGAACAAAGTGGGTATTTGTTTAAAATTCACTCCTTGTGCGGCCACCGTAAATCA